TTTTCTTTTTGCATGATCTCATAAACAAATGCAACACAACAATATAAAATTTAGGTAGTCCATCTTATTACTATCACCTTTTCAGTAACAACAACGATGAAACAGAAGTGGTGGAGAGTAATAGCACAAAAGATACATACAGTCGAAAAGAAACAAAGTTATCACCCGAAAATTGTAACGCCAAAATACTGGCACTTTTCATCCATACAACATAGCTGAACCTTCGCAAATATGAAGTATCTAAACTGATAAGACTAAGAGCTAGCGGCCATTTGGCGGTACACGTACAACCGGACCTAATTTGATTTATAAAATTAAAATATTTAGTAACCAAGATATTATTTGCTGTTAAAGTGTCGTTAAATCACAACTAAAGCTGCAGACCCTGAAACTTCAAACCACAGCTTCCTTACCAACAATACTCTGAATAACTATTATGGTCTAATAACAAATCATTAGAACCATACCCCATATCAACAATATACTTCCTTGAATCCGCAAACTCCATGTGCATGAGCTTCTTCTTTAATTAAGCCAATTATGGTCTCCATAGTCACCTATGACAATTGCAAACAGTGAAGGGAGAAATAGATTCAAATAAGATTTAAGGTTTTCTGCATCTAAGGGCGTCTCCAATGGTTGGCTATTTGGCTAACTATTATGACGTGGACAAGAGAAAAGTAAGAGAGAGAGTAGTCACTAGCTACTAACAAATAGCTTATCTATTTCACGTAGCCCAAGATTATGTGAGAGGAGTATGTGGGTCCAATAGTTTAAAATAGTTATTTTTCTTATCTCTCACATCCACGTCAGCTAACCATATAGCTAGTAATAACTATTACCATTGGAGATGCCCTTAAAGTACTTGTCAGTGCATCTTTAGGGAATGCGTACCAATCGAAATAGTTGTGAATATAACTTTTCAATAATAATACCAATTAGATCAATAATAGATGTCATAACTTACAGCTACACATTGAGCAAAAGTATAGTGAAACCCACTTGCCCTAACTTCGAGAGTTGTGGCAGCTCTAATCCTTCGAACATATCCATCGAAAGTTTCAGTTTGCTTTTGGGACATTTTTTAAACATCCATTTCAAATCACTACAAATCAAAAGTACTTCACAATATTCACATGTTTCACATTTTTCAAAAGAGACTTGTTTAGATAAAGCTGCCACTTTTGATTTCAACTCTCTATACAAATTGTCAATTTTTTTAATATATTTTTCAATATAAACAGCACATAAACTATTTTTTTGGGGAAAAAAATATAATCAGAAACATTTTTTAAGAATTTGTAAGACCATAAGACCACTCGGAAGTCTGAAACAACTCATAAGCTGTTATTTCAAGGTGAAAAACTGATTGTTGCTCACCATGTAAGTTCACCTCTGACACCTCGTATCCCGGCAGCCACCTCAGCAGATTCGCTCCCTCTCTCTCACATCTCCAGCAAAACAGAAATAAATATCGTCCGCGCCTAGAAAACAGGAAAGCACAAACAAACATCAACCATCAATAATCATTTTCAAAATTACAGATCATCTAATTTATCCTTTTCAGAGATTAATGAAAATGGAATTTGAAATAAAAAACAAGAAGATGGTGAACATATTTATAAACAAATAGAAGGTTCTCATTGAATTTGCTTCAATGTTCGTAATCACAACAAACCTAGCACAATGAACAATATTGTGGAGGACAAATCAGAATAAAGACACCTGATTTAAGACAACCCATAACTATGGAACAAGGAACATAAGTACCCCTTGTGACCCTGAAACCCTTTTTGATTCATTTTTTCAGGCTATGGATTTCCTCGTTATTTGTTTTTTTTTTTCTTTTTTTTTGGGTACAATGAAATAGACCGAAGCCTGATGATTAAGCTATAACTTGACGGGAATAAGAGACCCCGATAAGATCGTGCTCGAGCCAGGCTCCCATGCCAGGGGGAGGGGAAGCCAAGAACTGAAAACTGATCGGAGAGTTGGTCGTTAATCTGCCTAAATGGTCTGCTGCAAAATTCGAAAATTGACAACTACAAATTAAAGATGCATGTGATGTAATATTAATGACCCGAAATTAAGGTATCATTACTAATGTCCTATGTTGTAGATGGAAATCCATGCTTCCGAA